TTGGATCCGAGGCCGGGCGGCGAGGTCGTTGAAGGCTTGCATCGCCGAGTCGAACACCCGGTCGTCCAGCCTAGGGACGTCCGGCCCCTCGAGGCACCTCGTGGCCATGTCCCCCGCCTCAAAGTTGAGGCTATGGGCCGCCCCCAGGGCCGCCGCAAAGTGGTTGCGCAAGAGGAGGCCGTGCGAGACGAGGTTGGTGCCGGAGAAGTTAAAGATGCCGTCTTCCTGCAAGAATAGAGGGGGGGGGGTGACCTCAGTCGCACGTTCAAAGTAGATCGGATACTTTGTACTGCTCTGTCATGGTTTTGAACGACGGATTTGCGTCCGCTTTGAGCGTGGTAGGTGAGAATGGCTTGCTCGGACTTCCGGACTTGGCAACTTCAGCGTGTACCTGCAAAGGTGCCCAAGCGGCTATCGGGACGATGATGCATGAGTTTCCCGTTCCGTGCAGCGTCGCGCCCGGTCCGCTACATTTTGAATCCGTTTGGCCTCGGGACTGTTGCAAAATATGCAACAATGAGTGGACCGAATTGCGATGGCCTTTGCATCCTCATAAAGGTTCGCCGATATGCCTCAGTTGCTTAAACTTTGGTTTGCACCGCGCGTTCGACTGCTTGACCACAGCAGAGGCCCGAACAAAGTATCAGATCAAGGACCTTTCTTCACTTCAATGGGCTCCTCATCCTTTAGGTTTCATCAAGACCCGCTTCTATCGAGAGTCGGACTTGCGAGTGCTTGCTGTTCGAGAGCGAGGAGGTCCAACGGGCTTCAACAGTGCTCTGGAAGGTCGACGAGCAAAAGTCATCAAGGAACGAAGAGAGAGGCTTGTCAAACATTACCATGAACTTACAGAGCTCGGAAGATGCTTCCAGACGCAAGCCGTTCTGGCCGGTCTCAATCGAACTGAATGCATGGACCTCAGAGCAAAACTCGAGAGCCGTGAACAAGAGTTGGAGCACATCTTTCGCGAAGAGGCAATCCAACAACTGTCAATCCTTCGTTGCCTGGTACCGTTGGAGCCTCGACAAGGATTGTGGACCGAAGCAAACTTTTCTCCCATTGTCAAAGCCAAGTACATGTTTGATTATCTCAGTAACAATGCTTTGCTACCTTCGGAAGCAGCATACCAACAATACAAGAGGTGCGCACAGAGTCGATGGAGAAATCTGTACGATGAGGGAGTTTGGACGCACCTGGCCGTCGTAGGCTACTGAGCAGCATGCCGCCTCGCGCCCGGGAGCGATGCGGCAGACCCTTCGATAGGTGGTGATCGGATAGCGCCCCCCAGCCGTCGTTAGAGACCCTCTCCTACTCTCCAGCTGCCATGGACGGCCGCATGGAGAGAGCAACTCGGCGGGTCGTGGAGCGCAAAAGTGGCGGGCCTCCTCCCGCCGTCGCACGCCCTCCTCGCCCCACCGTTCACAAAGGCTCGTGACACGAGCTCCCCCCCGACTCATGACGGTGTCAATTCGCTTGTGGCTATGCCCCATGTCGAGCGCCGCCGCAGAGAGGCACTCCCAAGGCTCGAGGGTCTCTTGGTGGGTGCACGCAACTCTCGAGTCGGGTCGCCGGCACGCGGGGTCGTTGCAGACAAAGAGCCTCCTCGCTCCGGCTTCCCGCTGTCCAACCCTTTCTGCCCGCCGCTCAGCAAGGGTTTGCTTCGCCTCAACCCCGCCTCCGTCTGCTGCGCGCTCAATCAGAAGCAAGGTTTGCTTTGAGAGCACCCCCACAAGATGCCAACACCGCTCTGAACCCGAACACTCTACATCGCTGCAGTGCGCATTCTCTCCCCAGAACACGCAAACCACGGGCTTCTCCCCAGGGTTGTTCACGACGAACACTCGAAGTTGCGGCCCCCCTCTCCACGCCTTCGCGTCTAGCCCAAAGAGTGCACCCCCGACGCACCCCCCTTGCTCTAGCGGCAACACCCAAGGCACGCCGCTCGTGACCTCGCGCGCAAACGGGCGGCTGCT